AGCAAAGTCACCAAACTCCTTCACAATTTGTCTTCTTGTCGTCCGGTCTCGCTCCAAGCTCTGCTCTCTCGCTCCTTCGTCCGGTAGGGAACCTGTCAAAGATCCCCCATGTCATAGTCAGTATTCAAACCGTTCGGCAATTCAACAGAGCAGTAATAAATGTGCAATGAATGCAACCTATCTACCACTTACCTCTGACTTGTATTTATAGTTTTCGCCATGGGCTTAGGACTAGTGAAAAGTTAATCACGGCCCAATTCTAGTCCAATGGCTCTAATCACTATTTATCTTAACCGTAGTCTTAATGACTCAGTTCACCTATCGGTTGATCTTGTGCAACTGTCCGCTACTCTCTAGACCGCCCGTTCCGTACGGTACATAGTTGTTACTCACCCGAGTGGAAGGATGAATGGTCGAGTAAAATAGCGCGCAGTGAATGTTTATGCAAGTTGTCCGACAATGCTGTCAGAGGAGTAAAAAGATAGAAAAAACCCCGACGGTTAGGTCGATATCGGCGCCGCTATCTGGACCGTCGGGCCCGTATGGTACACAAAGTTAATACATATCTCATACCACGGAAGAGGTTTGGCCATGGATAAGCATTTTACCATGGTAAACATCTCTAGGTTCATCCTGAGCAGTAGTTGAATTATCATCGTTACTGCCATCCAACTCTTCTTGAGAATATTTAATTTCAATGCCTTCAAACCAAAAAACCTTAAATAGGAAGACATTGTCTTCCACATAATTCATATGGATCATATGATTTTCCTATATATTCAACAAAATGGGAGATTAGAAAACTTGAACAATACACCATAACCACTGCCCCTCTAGTAACTCATAATATAGTTATATATTGTTTGTCATTATTGATGTTTTCACTACTCGATATGTTTTCACTAGTCTTTATTCTTGTAAATAGTTTTATTATTTTATTTTAGAACTATTTTTTAATTCAATAATTACCTCTAAAGAAACTACCAACTTATAATAAAGTTTTAAAAAAACATTTATTTTATAATTTACTTTCTATTTTTTTATAAATTTAACAATAAAATCTATGTTTTAATTTTTTTATTAACATAATAAATTTGGATCATACGTTGCTAGCAACATTTAGTGTTTATATAATGTTTTTTTAAAATGAAACTATATTTAATTTATTATAATTTTTAATAATTGTGAATTAAGTTGTAATTACATTTCAGTTTAAATTACTATATCACTATGATTATGTTTAATTTAAATTACTATGTTATATGGTTATTTTTATAATGAAATATTTTTAATGATATATTTGAACACTTTGATAAAAGTTTGTCATGTCTTTTATCACAATTAAAACAATTAAACTATTTGAAAGTAATTTATAAATAAATATTATTGATACAAAAATATAAATATCTCAAATGATCTCATACATTGTCATTAGGAGTTTGTATCTACTAAAAAATTATTATATTTAGGAAACTAGAAATATGGTAAAATATGGTAAGAAAAACAATGTAATAAACCCACAAAATAATTAATACAAATGGAGGATTTAAATCCCTACAGTAAAATAAGTACAAATAAAAAGAGATTTCAAACATTCACAAAATAATAATCACTGATAAGAGAGATTAAAACCCTCCACCTTATAAATCAAATTCATTTGCAAAACACCCTCAAATTAATTTGCAAATATTAAAAACTCCCGCAATTTAAAATAAAAACATCCGTAACTTAAAATAAAACCATCTCCAGAATAGTTTTTTTGTAGTGTAAGATGATATCATTTTAAATCTTGAACATTTGAAACCAGTACAATGTAGATAGAAAAACTATATAAGTAACTAAAAGGAAAAAAGGAAATTTGTTTAATATGATAGATTTTAGTTGGATAAAGTTTTAGTTTAGCATATTTTTTAGATTAATAGATTTCACATTTGACAAATGAAATAATAAGTAAATAAATTTCTCCTCAATTGATAAATTTTCGGGTTTTTTTTTTAAATAGTTATGATGATCAATGGGCTAATTTATTTACTTCCGATTTTTATCAAATTGAATGTTTATTTATAAAACAAATTCATTTATTTCGTAAATCAAACTTTCTCATGCGACTTACTCACCCTATAAAGATTTATTTCTTACAATAAACTTATTTTTTACTATAATTACTTAAAAAGAACACACATTAAGAAAATTTCAGAGTGAAATTGTTATTACACGTACAATATCAAATTAGTTTTTTTTTTCTGAGTTTTTAGTGCTTGTCAAACATTGTATGATCAATATTACTAGAGATGTCAAAATGAGTAATCCGACTCGACCCGACCCATCATGGGTTGGTCACTTAGTGAACCAATCCAACCCAGCTTACTTATTAGCAAGCTGAAAAAATTCGAACTCGACCAGACCCACCATGGGTTGGTAGGTTAAACGGGTTGGTTCACTAGTTTATTTAAGGTTAAACCCCTTTAGTTGTCTTTATTTTTGTGAGTTTTTTCCAATTCGATCACGTTTTATTAGAATCCCCAATTTAGTCCTAAAAAATGCTAATTTAAGTTAATTGGCCCTTGCCGTTAAATTGGTTTAACGGGGTTAAATTTTTTATGAGCTAGGATGTTGACGTGGCCAATTTTTTAAACGTGGCATTTACAGAGCTCTGAAGGTGGAATTTAAGAACATTTAACATTTAAAACTAGGGATTTTTGAATGTAAAATGTAATTAGGGTTTGTTGGTGGATTTTAAATTAACTCTAATTCCTAATCACATGGCGAAAGCTATGTCGTCAGCTATGCCACGACGCCGCCACCATAGTCTTACCACCAATCATCCTCGCCGCCACGGCCAACCACCATGCTCATCTCGCTAGACCACCCAAAGCCACCACATAACCCTAATTCGCGCCACACTATCACGTCGACACCATCGTTGTTCATCTTCACCGTCAATGTTGCCGCAGCTGCCATAGAGACCACCCAACAACCTCCGAAATCGTCGCGACAAACCTTTATTGCGAACACCATCTTCCTTCAGCCTTCTTCGAGAACCTGCAAGGAGAGCCAGAAACGCAAGTCTCGCATCGCACAACTGTAAGCACCTCCACAGCCAACATTCGAAAGTCGCAAGCCGCCATGAGCCATTATCTTCCTCGCGCAACAACCAACCTCCATGGCCACCTCCATTTCGTCCACCTGCAAACCAAATCAGAAGGCCAATCTCCTTCAAGCCAGAACATTAATCGCGGTTCCCTTCATTGTAGAACCAGTCTCTCGCCGGCCATTGCCTCACCAACCAAATTCGCGACGCACAAGCACTCAGCGCTTCCATCAACCTCGCACCTCCATCACGTTCTCGTGAGTTTCGCGCTTAAGGAAACCCCAATGTGATTAGGAATTATGGGGAAACAAACCCTAATTTCAAATTCAATGGGACAACAATTTCAATTTCAAGGAACCCTAATTCCTGATTACATTTTACACTCTAGAAATCCCTAATTAAATTTCAATGAACCCTAATTTCGGATTACATTTTACACTCCACAAATCCCTAATTTTAAAATGTTAAATGTTCTTAAATTCCACGGACACAACTCTCTGAATGCCATGTTTAAAAAATTGGCCACGTCAACGTCTCAGTTCATAAAAAACTTAACCTCGTTAAGTCAATTTAACGATAGGGGCCCAATTGACTCAAATTAGCATTTTAGGACTAAATTGGGATTCTAATTAAACGGGGATCGAACTGAGAAAACCCTAGAAAAATAGGGATAACTAAAGGGCTTTAACCTTTATTTAATTATAAGTTTTTTTAAATAAAAAAAATTAATTTTTTTAATTCAAATCTAAATAAATTTCATACTAAAATGATGTTAAAGTCCAAAGAAATTTCAAAACTAAATAAAAATAGTATCATACAATCTAAGCGTAATCCAAAAACATGTACCAAAGGCGAACAAATAAGTTTTTAATATTGATAATTTTTGTATCACTTGTCCATTTATAATATTAGAGTCTTGAATAGATAAATTTATAATATTTTTTTCTCTTGAAACATCTTCTTCTTTATCACCATCTACAATATAATAAAAAAAATGCTAACTAATAATATTGAAACAAAAATAAATAAATAATTAAATTAAATTAGGTGGATTGGTGAGCCAACCCGGTTCACCACGGGTTCAAACCGGTAAGCTGGGTTCTAAGTGAGCTGGGTTGAAAACTAACCCGCATAAAAGAATTATATTTTTCTTAAACCCAACCCGGCTCAAACTCGTGGTAGGCTGGGTTAACTCGCGGGTTACAACCTATTTTGATCACAATACTTTAAATGTTATTAAAATTTTATTTTGCTAATTTTATACTAGTTTATTGCTTAATATATGATACAATAATAGTTTATATAATGCTCTTAAAAACCTTTTAGTAGAATTTTTAAAAAGCAAAATAAATATATTTGACTGAAAAATATAATTTATAGAATTTATGAATAAAATCACTTAAACTTTAATAGTAATATAAATTTATCTTACTTTTACTCTATCATTTTTAGTTTCATATTAAAATATGTATGCGTAATATAATACTTGTATATAAATTGTATATATTAACAGAAAGAACATTTCAGTACTTTTCATAAAAACAAATTATTTAAGTCATGACGCCATCTTTGTTGATACGATGTGTAAAAATCTAATATTTGAAATTAAATTAAAACTAGGATGGATTATTATCGTAATAACATTATAATTAATTTATATAAAGAAAATAATACCAAAAAAAATTCAAAATTTAAAGTATATCACAATTAAATCATAAATACATGCGAATGGTTAAAATTACGGTTATCATTTGTGAAGATAACCTTACAGATAGGTAGATTATGTGACATTAATCTTTTAAGGATTTTATCATAATCTTTTATCTTCTATGCGAAAACCATGGTTACTATATTTCTCCATTGCCTATATATACAAGGGACTCGTCTCACGGTTTTTACTCCTCTTAATTGCTTCAAATCTTCTTCCTCTTCTTTTTGGTGAATTCAGATTCTTCTTGCTTCAAGTTTGAACATTTTCGAAGCCAATTACACGGTACATTATATTCGATTTAATTAATGGTTGATCACATCACGTGTGAACTTTATGAGCATATTCGTTCTATTTCAAAGTTTTAACCGTCAAAAGTTGATCGTGCATGATGATTTGTATAAGAAAGCACATTGATTTCAGGGACAAATTTGCTTGGGCTTCAAGCTAATTTGTCAAACAAGTTTTGTAGCATCTTGCCCTGCCCTGTACCTACACATATATTCTTGTGCAAGTGTCAAAAAATGGTTCATAGATGAACCCTTTTTCATGTTAATGTAAAGTTCTTATTTTTCGTGCATTATTTGCGTGATCATTTTGCAGGACCAACACGGTACATTGATATCTAAGGTCTGTGGGTGGAAGAATGGAGAAAAAGGGTGTGAAGGCAAAGACGAAGATCGTGTGCACTTTGGGACCATCAAGTAGGTCTGTGGAGATGCTGGAGAAGCTTCTCAAGGAAGGGATGAACGTGGCTCGCTTCAACTTCTCTCATGGCTCTCACTCTTATCACCAAGAGACCCTTGACAATCTCAGGAATGCAATGAACAACACTGGCATTCTCTGCGCTGTCATGTTGGATACCAAGGTTTCCAAACTCTTTCACCTTTTACCTGCTTTTGCAAGTTACTTTGTCATGTTTTTATTCTCGACTTTTTTCATTTTGGTTACATTGGTAAAAGAATACTTCAAGTAGGTATACATATACAACAAATTCAAATGAGTGAATTGTTCTTTTTGGGGATATTCTTTGACGTGCTTCATGGCATTGGTGGTGCTTCTTTGAGAGCTTCATTCTGCATTGATGTTTTGAGAATGATTATTTGACATATTTGGTGTTTGTGTTTATGTTTGAAAAAAAAATGACAGGGTCCAGAGATCAGAACTGGGTTTCTGAAAGAAGGGAAACCTATACAAATCCATAGAGGACAAGAAATCACAATTACAACTGATTACAGTATAAAGGGTGATGAGAAGATGATCAGCATGAGCTACAAGAAGTTGGCACACCATTTGAGTCCAGGGAGTAATATTCTGTGTGCTGATGGGACAATCAGCTTCACTGTCTTGGAATGTAACAAGGAGAATGGCCTGGTTCGATGTCGGTGTGAAAATTCTGCAGTTTTGGGCGAGAGGAAGAATGTTAATCTTCCCGGAGTGGTTGTTGATCTTCCAACCTTGACAGAGAAGGACAAGGAAGACATTCTGGGGTGGGGGGTTCCTAATAAGATTGACATCATTGCTCTCTCTTTTGTTAGAAAAGGTTCAGACCTTGTAGAGGTCAGAAATCTACTTGGAGAGCATGCAAAAAACATACTTCTTATGTCCAAGGTATCATTCCATCCTATTGTCAAATCATCAAATGAAATATCAACCTTTCTTCAGAGTTGCTAAATAAATGCAACAGGACTTGTTTTATTAGAGAAAATGTTTGTTTTTACCTTTGTTTTTTCCAAAATTACCTATAGAAATGTCCTGTTGTTTTCACTTTGATTCCCTTTTCAAAGATTCTCAAGTTACTTGAAAACAAGAAAAAAAGGTTAAAGCAAAAAGCTCCTATCCTACATTGATCAATCTCACAAATTGTACTTATTAGTCGTCTTCTTGTCTTTGTCAGGTTGAAAATCAAGAGGGAATTGCCAATTTTGATGAGATACTTGCAAATTCAGACGCATTCATGGTGGCAAGAGGCGACTTGGGAATGGAAATTCCAATAGAGAAAATCTTTCTTGCTCAGAAAGTAATGATTCACAAATCAAACGTACAAGGCAAGCCTGTGGTAACTGCCACCCAGATGTTAGAGTCCATGATCAAATCACCCCGGCCTACGCGAGCGGAGGCCACTGATGTTGCCAATGCAGTCCTTGATGGCACTGACTGTGTTATGCTTAGTGGGGAAACTGCTGCAGGAGCCTATCCAGACATTGCTGTCCAAACCATGGCTAGAATCTGTTCTGAAGCGGAAAGTTTCATAGACTATGGTGATTTGTTCAAAAAAATTATGGAAACAGCTCCCACTCCAATGACTCCTTTGGAGAGCATGGCTTCAGCAGCAGTCAGGACTGCAAAGTGCATCAATGCTGCTCTAATCTTAGTGCTGACTAGAGGTGGAACCACTTCAAAACTTGTGGCCAAGTATAGACCCAGCATGCCTATTCTTTCTGTGGTAGTTCCTGAGATAACCACAGATTCTTTTGAATGGTTCTGCAGTGACGAAGCTCCTGCAAGGCATAGCCTTATCTACCGCGGCCTAATACCTGTTTTGGCCTCTGGTTCTCTTGGAGCCTCCCAGACTGAGTCAACACAAGAAACCATAAAGTTTGCTCTTTCATATGCAAAGGAAAATGACTTGTGCGCCCCTGGAGATAGTATTGTAGCACTGCTCCGAGTTGAAACCTCTACTGTGATCAAGATACTGGATGTTTCTTAACTGAAGACAAAAGTCTAGGACTAGGACTGATACCTTGTTTTTTTGTTTAGTATTGTTTTTGTTTTTAGGCTTGTTTTTACGCTCTTGTAGTTTATTTTTCAGAAAATAGCTCTTTGCCTCTTTCGGATTTCATTACAGGGAATCTCATTTGGGAATTAAGCATTAATGTATTGTTAGTCCTGTAATTTGAGCATTACAGAATTTACTTTTTGATCTTATGAAAATCTAATTTAGATCCTGTCTTTTACAACAATTAATCTGGTCTCTGAATTTGACGTCACCGCTAATTTGGTTTTTGAATTTGACAGTCAATTTGATCCTTGACATTAGAAATCAAATTCAATGTATACAACAATGAGGGACCAAACTCAATGATTTATAATTGCTAAAGTCTGGGATCAAATTGACCAATGTACAACAATATTAGGGACCATATTGATTGATGTGAACCAAAGTTAAGAACTAAAATATCAGTTAGAGATCATGTGCTGAAAGTAATTTTTTTGTATTTTTAAAAACTAATGTTATTGTTTTCTCGGGAACTAAGCATTAGCATGTTCGTTTTCCTTTTAGATTGGTAAACAACAGAATGCACTATATTTTACCAGAAAATAGTACTGAAAAAATAGTCTTTTTTTTGCAAATATTTACAAACATATGCGTATTTGAGTTGTACAAGAAAGTAAGACTAGGAAATCTAAAACATACATAGAATTAGGAAGGATTTAAGAGGCATGGCAGTGTCTTCTGATGAGGATGATGAAGACTAGACCCCAAAAGGGTTTAATTAAACGGTTAACTGATGCAATTTTAGCCAGAGCATTAAGGTGTTTTAGCTCTCAGCGACTGCGACTGTATCACAATCACAGTAACAGCTGCATCAATCGCATGTGTGCAATTTCCTACAAGCATAACAACAAGAGAGTTTTGATCAGGGAGAAGGAAGAAAATTGCTGAATGATTGCAGCACTGGAAACCAGTTCCTCCTTCCATTTCTTGGTCTCTCTTCTCCAGCTCTGACTAGCTCACTGTTATGATTTTCAGTTCCATTTCCCACATTGGCTTCAACATTTGAATCCTCATATGGCATCTGAAACCTGCATACTGGACAAGAACCGTGAAGTTTTAGCCATGAGACAATGCAATCATCATGGAACATATGCTTGCATGGCATCTCCTTTGCTTCATTCCCAACCTCAACATCCTCCAAGCACACTGTGCACTGCAACTTCTCCTCACTAGTCACACTAGGCAATGCTTCAATTGCTGCCTTCTGTGCTGGAGGGTTCACACTAGCATACCCACCAGGACCAATCTGTGCCAAGTGTTGCAGCAACAAATCAAAGCCAGATCCTACCACAAGGTCATTCAGGGAGCTCCCAACAGCATTGTTCTCATTTGGACTACTTGTGTGGTTCATGTTAGGGCCTCTCACAATTAGTGCACCTTCATTGAATGGATCAATCACAAGTATGCTGCTGCCATCCATGTTCCTATTGTCTTCAAGATTTTCAGACTCAGACACCATCCTAACATGAAGTCCTCTGAAAAGATGCATCATGTAGGATGAAGTTCTTCTTCTTCTTCCAAGCACAAGCTCATTTTCCATCTGCTGCTCAACCTCTTCTTCCTCCCCCCTTGAGCTGCTTCCCCCATGTGGAGCAATCCTTGCTAGAGAAGGACTGAAAGCACCCATCAAACCAAGAAAAATTGGGGCATAAAGTGAGAACACCCAAGCTGACCTCAAGTCAATAACATCATTCTGGTCCCTTAGGTTCTCCATTACCTCAGAAACCTCTGTCTCGCAAAATGGGCATATGTTCTCAGTATCACTAATTGGGTTCACCATTTTAGAGCATATGTTGCACCAATGCACACCTTCCATGTCATTATTCTCCATCTCCCTTTCTGAACATAACTTGTGCCAATCTTTTCCCTTTCTTGTTTATCTAAATGTGCAACAATAATAGCTTATCAATAATAACCATTCAATGAAGGTGCCTTCTTTTCAAAATTTAAACGTATTTGGTAATCCTCTCTAGATACCTCATGTCATTTTCTGGAATACCTTCAAATGTAGCATAGTTGAAGCACCTTCATCCGAGGAAGAGGAGAAGAATCTGAAAGAGAGATGTTATTGCAAAGATCAAACAATGAAATATAAATTAGGGTTATGTGTGATTACCCCATTGGAAAATCAGTTACGTAAAATAAAATGTGGTTGTCAACATACTAATCAAAAGGTTATTCATACCATTTTTATTTTTGAGTAGTGAAAGTGGATGAAGAATTATCATTCCATCGTGTAATGCCATCTTATACCTCTTCCAAATGTTCTTTTTTAGTTTTGGTTTGTTTTAGGTGGGAGGGTTACACCAATCATTTTTTGCTTTATTATGGCTTTTTAAGGTTAAATTAGAATTCAGTTTTTGCTTGATTCGTTATTACTATGCAAAGATATGTTGATTGGGAAGATAAATTTAGAATGTACTCTTTTTTAGCTTGATTATTACATGTTCATTTCAATATGGAGTTTTCTAAATTTAATGAGAACGAATTTAGGAGAAAATTAACCTTTAATTAAAAACTCAATCTTCATATGAAGGATTTGCCACCATGGATTTAGAAGAGATATTTTACTGTGCTATTATGAGCTAATTTAACTCATACTCTTAAACTCCATATCATGCGATTATTGTCCCACCATGGAATTTTAATATGTACTTCTAAATTATTAGAAAAATTAATAATTTTGCATTACTTTGAAATAAAAATTAATACATAAATTAAAAGTAAACAGTGTTATTACTATTCTAACCTGACGATGATCGAGTTTTTTTTTCTATCTGTATTTTTTAAATGTTGAAAATAAAAAAATTCAATTCAATTATATATATATATATATATATATATATATATATATATATATATATATTGAAATATTCCTTTGCATAATGTTTAATTAGTTTACCATCTTTTTTCTTTGTACATTAGAAAAGTCGAATAATTTATGTTTACGCAATTAATTCAAATGTTGATATCATGATTTGAATGCACTTTTCACGTACCACGTCCGGAATATTAATAGATATGTGAGACATTTAAATTAACTAGGAAAAGAAATCAAATTTAATAGGACAAAATTTAGAGAAGCATAAACCATTTATTAATACATAAAAGTAATTTGATATATATTTTAACATTTCATGCAAAATTATCACCAAGGACAAGGTGACAAAAAAAAGTCAAGTTTCAGGTAGTCCAACAAAAAAAATGTAAGTTGGAATGACCTCTTTAACTCGAGAGCCTAATATAATTTATCTCACCCAACTCGATTGTCGGTAAGCCAGTTTGGCGTTCTAACATCATTAAAAAAATTAAATGTAAGATATTTGCCTTCACCCATCCTTGCATGTTAGCTCGGTTAATCCGATAGTCACGCATCATTATAAAAAACCTAAATGTAAGAAACTCGTTCTTGCTCAGCACCCGTCCACCCAATCTAATATGGAATAACATGCCTGAATAGAAAGGAAACTAAGGACTAAACAAACAAGAATGTAAATGGAATTAAAAATACAACAAATGAAAACGAGAAAGGAAAGGAAACTTAGAAGAATGAAGTCACGCCACTTGGAAGGATCCAAGATAAGTGCAAGGCAGGATCACCACTTGTTCTTCACAAGATAAGACCCAAGATTCAGATTAAGAGATAGATTTTATCTCAAAGAAAAAAGGTAATTTAATTCAAATCACTCTTATTTTCATTCAATGAAAGGTGTGTATTACAAAGGAGACCATAGGTTACTTATATAGTACTAAGAGAGGAAGTAAGTTGAGTAAACTAAGGGATGTGGGACTTAGAGACCTTAAATATGAAATGTAACGTATAAAACAGGTTTTAGGTCCCACATCTCTTAATTTTAAATCATCATAGGGGAATATAAGCTACCTAACTAGCGTAAAGATCAAAACTAAAGTTATACAAGAGGTAACTTGCATTACAATCAACTAAAGGAGAAAGACTTATTTATTCTTCTTTCTTTTAATTCAATATTATGTGAAGTCTCACATTGCTTGCACTTTAAAGAGAAGAAGGATATATAACCTTCCCTACAACCAAACTAAGAGAAAGAAACTAGAAAGGAAAAATACAGGTCTATGAAAACCTATGCTACTAAAGGCCAAATTACATCCATAAAACCTATTCTACTCTTTTTATTTCTTCATGTTTTCCTTAGGTCTTGACCCGTTTATGATCATATCATCCTCCCAAGTTGGAAAGGATTTGACCTCAAATCTTGAAAGACTTACACAAAGAAAAGAAATCAGTAACTCTTGGATCAAAGGTCCTTCTACAATAAGCATTAAACTAGAAGAAGGTCTCCTTAGATTTTGATTGAATTTTTTGGTTAAAATTAGGAGACCTATTTTAGAAAAACTTAATTTTTATATTAAGTTAAATGTAAACAAAGAGATAACACTAAATTAAGATGTAGTTTGGAAATTGTTTTTGAAGAATGCAAATAAGGGAAAAGTAAGGTGGGATATTCTCACAAAAGAGTTTGGGAACAAAGAGCAAAAACTTAATAATGGGAGAAAAGTGAAAGAATGGAAAAACTCTCATAAAATTGCTTAGATAATTCAGAATTATGGGTGGGGAATGTGCCTTGAGTAGCACTTCCTCTAACACTCTTGCCTTCGCCTTTCCTCTCACAGATTCTTCTTGCTCTCCCTTTACTTTCTCCTCTCTTTCACTCGTCTCATTTTCTTCTTTTGTTCTCTCATCTCTTTTCTACGTGATCTTGAAGAACCTCTTTATGAGAGATTAAACAATTGAGCTTGAATCACTCCTTTTCTTCACCTCTCTTGGACCTCATTATTAGGTGGTCCTTATGTATATCCTTTGGAGTTAGAGGTTTCAATATAATCTTACACCCTTGGAAAGTAAATGACATCTTATTGGTAAGACCATCATGTTGAACATTTCTATCAAATTTCCAAGGTCTACCTAATAGGATGTGAGTTGCTTCTATGGGTACAACATCACAGAGAACCTC